CTGTGTGAACTCTGGACGTTCTGTCTGAACTATGAGACACCCTTTGTGTCTTTATGGGGCTGAAAAAGAACGCGTCGCCTTTGATTTAGGGTATTTGTTTCCATTTGGGGGATACAGTTGGGGATCATTTGATATTCAGCAGACGTGTATGTATCTCACTTTGAAGCTAATTCTTTTTTTATTACTGATGGCTGGCCAGTGCAGTATCCCAACTCAAAAACATAGAATACTAAACACCCAAAGGTTTGTGAAGACCTGTTGAACACATCATTGAGTGATGATCTGAGGCATACAGGTCACAGGGCTGTTGATGGGCTATAACTGGCTGTTTGTGGTTGTTGTCAGGTTTTTCGTGATATGGGTCAGATTTGGTTAGAACACAGCATTCTGAAAACAGGGTAAAGTCTATTTTTATATGGGTCATGCATGTGTCAATAACAGTATTTTTCTTTTTTAGTAAGTTCTGGTATACATCATTGGAACCACACATGAGGATTTGGGTCATATTGGTTTGAATGTAAGTTATATGCAATGAGCCGCCGAGCACCCAAAAATTGCCACTTCATAGTTCTGCTATTTTGCAGCAAAAGTGGGGCATAACATATCAATCAACACCTGGTCATCGAATGGGTGGGGAGCTTTGAAAAACAGTGACCCCATTTTGGTTGCATGTACATAAAATTATAGAGATTGTGTTCTCAATAAAGATAACTTTCTGTTTTAAATTGCTATATTTGGTGGAACTAGAGGAATGGACGTGGAGGAAAAAACATAAATTAAATCCACTGAGAATATTGTTGGTGGCACGCAAGAAGACATTAACGAAGAAACGGTTGAAAAAAGAGACACATAGTTTAGATGGATGGATTGATGTTGCATTTAGCATCTTTATAATGGAAAGAATGACTTTCAGTCAATAAATGTCTCTTTTTCAGTCAAAAAGAGACATTTATTGAAATGTGGCAAAAGTGGATCAAATGCGTCTCTGCCGTAAAACCAGACCTCAGGTAACCTTGGATTGGTCTATTGAAATGCTTTTATGTTTTGTCGTGTCTCTGTTCCCTATGGCCTCACGATTGGAGATGTTCTCCAATCCACTTTTGTACGATTGACTATTTCCTGGATATTGTCAGTATTTTTGTTTGGGTCTTCATGATGAACATTTGTTTATTCATTTAAAGTAAAAAACCAATGAAAAAGAAAATGACAACAAAGAAAAACAGTAACTTTGTGCCTGTGGTTTGAGCTTTTTCGTTGGATAAATATAGCTTTATAGCTGCTGGACTGAGCTAGGGAAGTAACTCATGCCCAAACTCGTGGTGCTCCAGTCTTCAGTGAGCTGTGCGTTTGCATCCAAGAAAGTGGAGAAGACAGGGAGACATGTGATTCCCACTTTTTCTCAAACTCTGTGTGCACTGCTAGTTCTTCTCTCCATCCCTGTGCCCGTGTTTTAACATCTAGTCCATGTCGATACGTGAGCCTGTGTGTGCCGGTGTGTGTGTGTCTGGATCTGTGTAGCTCTGCAGATGTGCCTGAACGTGTGATGGGCAGCTGGGTGCTCCGCCTGTCAGCTGGAATTGGCAGGTAGCAGCTGCCGATCTTATCGGAGGTCACCGGGTCGGAGCGGGCTCGCAAAAATTGAGGCCACCTTGTCAGCACCATCCCGATAATAAAGGCATCAAAGCAGACCCAAAAGTAGAAAACAGGATGGTGGGGAAGTTTGGAGGAAACTTTGAAAGGTTTCTTTGAGTGACAAAGGGATGTAAAAGAATGGACTGTACCGACTTTAATGGTGGGCCCGCACCAACCCACACCTGTCCACGGTAAGAACACCAATCAGAAGACACCTCTGGGTGTGTTCTATTAACATATATCGCACACTAATGTGGAGGAATTTAGTCCGAATCATCAGCTGTCCTGACTGGAGTTAATGCTGCCGATATGCACGTATATCCACTCAGGTCCCCTCTGTCATAACAACATTGTTACGTAAGGCTAGCATCTTTACAGCTTTTGAAGGCTACGCTGCTGTGTGCCTTTCCAAACAACCCATAGTTGTGTCGTCTCATTGTACTGTTTGAACTTTAACATTTAACATGATAACTGAGGCTTGTGGAGTCTGAGATGTTACTTTTTTATGCATAGTATTGGGACATTGGGCGTGAACTTGCTGCAACATCCATTCCTTGGAGGATTTTAAGCTCTATTAAATGTTTTCTACTAATTAAAATGTAGATTAAATTACTCCAAACACTTTTGGAAGGACTTTATAACTCATCCCAGACTGATAGCCAGCAACAGTTGCTTGTGTGTTTTATTCTTGGCATTGTGATATTGCTTTTAAAGATACTAACACCTGCTCCCCCACACAGGCACTTCATTTTGCTTTACTTTGTATTAAATAATGAGTGTAAAAAGTTACATTTCTCCCATTTCAATGCCTCGTAAAGACCATATCATGTTTTATTTTTATGTTTCGCTGAATCAAAACCTCAGAATTTAAAGAGGGCGAACACATGACGGGGGTTTGGGGTTTGGCACATACTGTAAATGTGCAAAAAATATATGTAAAATCAATTTCAAAAAGTGCTTTTAGGGTGTGTTTTCCTGTCAATACATTTCCCCTTCGGGAGTGATCGATCGCTGCCGTTGCTTTTCCCTTTCCTCTTTTCGTCGTTCCGGCCAGCTTTTAACCCACATAGCAACAGCTGTGACCGCCAGGGCTTTTCTGATGCCAGCACTGGCTATCTATGTGGTTCTTTTTTGTGTTTTATCCTCTGATATGGAACGTTTACCTGTGTATTTACAGCTCCAATAACAGATATCAGATATCTGACACTGCTTTTGTGACGTGGTGCACAATAACCTCAATGAATGAGTGTGAAGTTAATTAAAACTGTAGGGATGGTCTGTCAGACTCCCATTAGTCCACACTGGGAGTTGGTCATCTGTCCAGATCATTTGATGAACACCTCAGGGTTAGAATCACAGTTTATTCTCTGATCCCAGTCCTCTCTACAGTAGGGTTCAAATCCAACCCCAAATCCAGCCGCATCAGCTCAAGACTGATGGTTTTATTCAAATATCCACTTTTAAAGGGTGAGTTCAGAGTTTTATGGTTCTTCTGTTGTGACACAAAAACAAGATGGTGACTTTCTTTTCAAAGTAGTCTTCAATAGCCTTCTTAGACACCTTACATGGACACCAATAATCAGCTTATCTTAAATGAGATAGACAAGTTTGTAGAGCACTACTATTTATTTGGGAAGCAACACAATCATCTGGTCTATGATTGTAAACAGTGGACCAGGTGCTGAAATACAGTGGGGAGAACAAGTATTTGATACACTGTTGATTTTTCAGGTTTTCCCACTTGCAAAGCTTGAAGAAGACTGTAATTTTTATCATAGGTACTCTT